CTTTAAAGAACAAATTTTGCCTATAACAACAATAGACCAAATAAGCGACAAATTTGAGCCATATTTTAAGCACACTTTTACATTTCTCACTCGAAGATTCAGAAACGTGTTTTTTATGCAAACTCAGCATTTGTAGCGGTTTTATTAACCCTTTTTCCATACTTTGATTACTCTTTGAGCTATAATTACTGGGCCGATTGTGCTTGCAAGTTTATCTCTTCAAAATTATTTTATTAATTATTAATTTAGCTTATTAATCTAATTAATTAGCAATTTAGAACTGTTTTCAATTTTCACAGAAACCACATGAAAACATCCATTAAAATTAATTAATGACTGTTCATTTCACGGCTGTCCGTATTATTTATTCACATTGATAGTTTCAAGCGCTTTTGTAAGTTTTAGGTATATTTTCTTAAATTAAACTAGTTAAAAACCCGACTTTTAAGGGCTTGAGGGAAAAAATTTAAGAGTCACCTGCCTTTCTTCGAAGATGTTGGAAAATAATTTAAAATGCTAGAAAAAAGCCAAAAAAAAGTTGTACAAAGTGTCTTTACATTAAAGACAACAAGGAGTTAAAGTGCGGTTTATCTTAAAATTGGTACTTTTCAGTTCAAATCGCCTTTGAATATTAAAATAATTTAGACAAATCTGGATACACTAAGAAGTCCACAGGATTTAAAAAAATAGTGGAAAGAAAAGAATACTAAATCGTAATAAAGCAGAAACTAAGAAACAAATGTTTGAACGGATTTTTTCACTTGATTTCACTGATGTGAAGAGAGACGCATTTTTTCCAAAAACCGGTTTTGTCTTCCTTGTTTTCCTAATGAAAACGAATTGTTCATACATTTTTTAATTGTCTTTTGATTTCAAAATATCTTTGAAAATGATGTGATGAGGAAAAACTAAAAAAAAAAAATCAAAAGAAATTCCTGGGTTTCAGTCAATTTTATTGTTTACCATTTAAAATGTCACAAAAACGTTTCGGTGCTTTTCTCCACCATCATCAGTTTGTATGTATGGTTGTTCCTACCTTCACAAGTGGCTTGCCAAATGTGAAGGTAGGAACAACCATAACTGATGATGGTGGAGAAAAGCACCGAAACGTTTTTGTGACATTTTAAATGGTAAACAATTAAATTGACTGGAACCCAGGAATTCTTTTTGAATTAAGTTGAAATACAGTCAAGAAAATATACACAATTAAAAAAAAATAAAACATAAAAATACAAAATTCCATTTGACCACAATCCCACAGAAAAAAATTATAAAATTTTTAAAATCCCGACAAAATTTGGCAAATTTCAACCTCAGAAGCGAGCGGTGTAACGCGATTTTTTCCTTCCTACTTGCATGTGAATCTTAAAATATTGATGTTCTTTAAAACATTCGTTTCCTCTATCGAGTCGCGGACAAACCGGTTTCTAAAGCTTTTGTCAACCAATTTTGTACGATAAAATAGTGGCACCCGTGAAGAACCTTGAATGAAATTTGTCAATTATACGAAGAGTAAAGATGGTATCAATATTTTGAAGGAATTTTGAAGATGTTGGGACAGAACATATTCATCTAGCAAATGGACAAAAGATGTTCAGAAAACTCATCAAATAC